TGTCTTCCAATTTGTAGGCTGTCTCATCACTCTATTGATTGCTTTCTGTTGAACAGAAGCTTTTTATTTGGAACAATTTCATTTATCAATTTTTCACTTATTTACTAAGTTATTGGAATCCTATTAAGTCACACAGTATTACTGTGTTGTTATGTATCTATTTCATTATTTTCATTATACATATTTTGTTTTAATATGTTTACAATTATTACATCTGCATAGTGACTTGCTTCATTTATCAGTATGAATTGACATTCTTATCTCTTTCTTACTAATTCTGGTTTAATATCTGCTTTGTTTGATATGAATATTAGCCTATGCCACTTGCTTTTGGTTTTCATTTTCTTGGAATATCTTTTTTCCATCCTGTCACTTTTCCTGCTGTGTTTGTCTCTTCCAGTGCAGTGTTTTTATTTTAGATTGAAAAGAATTTGTTTTTTTAAATCAATCTGCCATTTGATGCTTATAATTGTTTAATTGAGAACATTAATCTTCAGTGTTATTATTGATAGGCATGCAGTAACTCCTGTCATTTTTTGTTTTGTTTTGTTTTCATTTTTTTACATTTTGTCATTGTTGTGCGGATACCTTGTGACATTCACAAAAGTCCTTACAAATTATCATACTTGAATTCACCCCCTCCATCATTCTGCTTTCCCACCTTCCCCTATTCCTGGAATAGTTTCAACAAATCTCAATTTTTTCCATTTATGTGTATGAATACATTACATTTCTACTAAATTCACACTCTTACACCATTTCCTTATAACCTAGCCCTTCCCAATGGCACCCATTCCCCAGACGGGATGTGTTCTGAGGCCATTACTCTTCAATATTATTATTGAAAAGAATGCAGTATTTCACCTAATGTTTTTTTTTTCTTGTTTGATGCAATCATAATCTTTACTTATCTACTTTACTTGTGTGGGTAATTCTTTCCTATAGCATTATGGTTGTTCTTATCTTCCTCTTGTGTGTGTAGGATTTTTCTAAGTAAATTCTTCAGTGTGGTTTGGGTTGTCATGAGTTTCGAAATTGTGTGTTTGCCACTGAAGCATTATTTTCTCTTTCAAAAGATAGCTTTGTTGGTTACTGTAATTTAGGTTTGTTAGATTTCTTTAAAGATTTGAAATGCATCTTTCCATGCTCTGTTGAAATTTACTGTTTTTGTGAGTTATCTTCTGTTATTCTAATTTGTATGCCCTTATACTTGGAATGGTTCTACGTTATTGTTTTCAATATACTTTCATTGTTCTGATTAGTTATTGTTCTAATAATGTGATTTGGGAAGTTAATGTCTGGTTTTGGTATTACAAAGTCCCTCATAATATTGGTGGCTATGTATTTTCCAAGGTTTGGAAAATTGTCTGTTATTATTTTATTAAAAATATTGTCTATGACTTTTGCTTACATTTCTTTAACTCCTTTTCCTTTGCATATATCCACGATTTACTGGCTTTGTCTTTTATTGTTGTCACAGAGTCCCTTTATGTTGCATTGTACTTTCTTAATTTAGATGTTTATTATTGTGTGAATGTTCTAATTCATCTACCTGGTGTTTGAGCCCTGGTATTTGGTCTTTTACTTAATCCAGGATGTTGACAACATTCTCCAATGAGTACTTGTATGAAGTATTAAGTATTTTAGCTTCAGTATGATTTCTTTACAATTTGTATATCCTTACTGAATTCGTCTTTCCTAGCCTGCATTATCTTTCTTGTTTCATTCACCTGTTTACTTATATTCTCTTTGAATTCATTTATTGTTTGTCAGATCTCTTTAATCTAGTTGATGATCATTCTAAATGCTTTCTGGGAATTCACTTCAGAGTCAAAGTAGTTTGTTTTTGTGGGCTTGTTTACTTATGAATAAGTCATGTTAATTTTTTCAATTGTTTTTCTGTTTCTGTGTTTGTATTTGAATGTTTAGGTCAAGGTGTTGGTTGCAGGTTTTAGTTTCTTTCAGGGAAAATATTTGCAATGCTCAGACAAGAGTGGATTGGGATAGGGTTGATACTGAGTTTCTCACTACTGAATTGGGTGTGTTGATTAGAAGTTAGATATGGGACTATATTCACAAGGCACCAGGCCTGATGCCAACATCAGCCAGCAAAGAGGAAACTAGGTGCCTAAGCAGCAACAACTTATAGACTCAAAAATCATAGAAACAGTTATAACTGATTAAAAATAATCACTGCCTTTATTCAAATAATCTTAGAGGAATAAAGAAGCAAAGATAATAATATGTGAGTTAAGATAGTACTAGTCAATAAATAGTGATAAAAATAAAGTAGGAGGAATAGTCAATAGTAAAAGAAATATAGGGAAATAAAAATGTAAGGAGAAATGTGAGCTCAAAATATTAAATTCCCAAGGAATCGGTGACCCCAAAATGGGTAAATGAAATGAATAGAAGTTTTTTGATAGGTTAAGTACAAATGGCCAAAACAATACATGAACAATTCTCAACATCCCTGGCCATAAAGGAAATGCAAATCAAAACCACATTAAGTAAGTCTCCACATCATTCCTATTCCAGTAGCAATAGGAATGGAAGCTGTAGCAATAGGAATAAAAGCTGAAATGTTGGAAAGGATGAAGAGGAAAAAGAACACTTATAATGTTTGTGGGAATGCAAATTAGTACAATCATAATGGAAAGCATTATGGAAGTTCCTGAAAAAAAACTAAAGAATATAACTGCCTTCATATGATCCAGCAATAGCACTCCTTGGCATATGTATGAAATAATGTAAGTCAAAATACAATAAGTACACTTACCTACTGATGTTTATTGAAACATTATTTATAATAACCAAGCAATGGAAGCATCACAGAAGTCCTACCGTTGATGTTCAAACATTCCAGCTGCCCTCCAACTGATAAATCATTTAAAAAAGATGTTATATCTATCTATCTATCTAGTAGAATATTATTGAACCATAAAGAATGAAATTTTGGCAATCATAAGTAAATGGATAGAAATGGAGAAATTCATGTTAAATGAAGTAATCCAGACTCAGAAAGACAAAGGTCACATGTTTTTGTCTCATATGTGGAAGATAGATCCAAATACAAATGCAAGCATTTGTATACACAGACACACACAAGCACACACACACACATGCACACACACACACATATGTGTAAAACAAGTTTCCAATATAGGAATTGTTAGAGGAGACTAATGAAAGAGGGAAAGAAGAAGAGAATGATAGAGAATGAAGCATCTCTGCAAGAACAAGACTAGAAGAAACACACTGAAAACCGATAATCAATACAGGGAAGTAGGTAAAGGCAAAGAAGAGTACAAGTAGGCCTAGACAAAGTATTTCTAGCTAAAATACCAGGGCAAATTGCCAATTAACAATGAACAGACACTTAATCAATGAAGGACAAAAATATAAAACAGGTCATCAGTAGAAGAGAGTACTAGTATCATGGGAAGGGCAAAAACAGAGGGCAAATGAGGACAACTATGATTGGTTTATTTTCTATAGATGTATGAACATGGATCATGAAACCTGCTGAAGTCAGTTTAAGAAGGATGAATTGCACATAGTAGAGAGGAATGAACCAAAGCAGTGTACATTGTATGCATAAATGAAAATGTCACAACAAACCCCTCTGTGCAAATATTAAATACTAATAAAAATGTTAGGAAACAAATGAACAAAAATTTTGTGGAGGAAGAGAGGAGAAGGGAGGGGAAGAAAAAAATAATTATTGAAAGCTAGCTTATGAAGCCAACATGAATCAATTGAGCCTGGGTCCTATAGGCAGTGTCCATTACAAAAGAAGGAGAATGGGGCAAAATGGGTCAAATAAATGTGATATTAAATGGAGATGTATTAAAAAGAAATTAATAAAACAACACAATTGAAAAATAAATTATATAAGAAGTAGAGTAAAATTATATATTTGAATATTGAAGTTGATCATAATGCTTTAAATGTGAACATTTGGACCACTGAAGCAGATATTCACTCCCTGTGTTTGGCTTATCAAAAGCACTCACCTTTTTTTTAAAGACATTGTTTTATCTGTTCAGTAATGAAATCGTCTCCCTTGAAGATTACCTACTTTTAGCTGCTCACAGTCACTTTCCCACAGCTTATAGAACTCAGGGACCCTTAACACAAAGAACATAACCATCACAATCTTCACTGCTAAAATTTAATGCAGTATCTCATTACCATGTGGCTAAACAAACTATATGTTTGTACTGATGAAGAGCAAACAATGTCCTTCCTCCATATTCTACTGTCTCAGGATTGAATAACTTACACTACCGTTCTAAGTAAAGGGTGCAGAATTGATGCCCTTCTACTGATAGGTGGCCAGTGAAGACAGAATCTTTGTACTCAAGATTTATGTTAATCTGTTACTAAATTTCTGATCCAGACAGGTATGAGAGAAGGAAACACAAATATGAGGCCCATCAAACCTGGATCCAATCAGGAGAAAAGCTGGAGATACAGTCTGATTATTTACAATTGTATGATCGTGGAGCCTCAATGCAGATCTCATCATTAACCATATTGGTCCATATTCTCACCAACTCTAACAACCCTTTCTTATTAGTAGTGAAGAAGAGTAAGATGAGATATAGGTTCACAGGTTTTCTGAATCATCTTCTATTCATTAATAACTTCATGTGAGTTGACAATATCTTTTGTTTCCATTGTTTTCTAAAATTCATTTTCTTTTTCCACTCATATTATTGTAAAATTAAATTTTAAAATATTTACATTTTGCATATATCAGATCAGAACTGAGTAAAATTATTATACTCATATTTCCATGCACATTATCAAGGTGCATCCCCAAAATTTTGTCAAAATAAAATTTGTACATAATACTCTGCCCACACTTGTCATCCACTTTCTACTATGAAGATAGTGATAAATTAAGGCCATTAAACTAAAATAATAATTTGACCAAAAAGTAGTTCTAAATATTATTTTATGAACTTTTCCATGGTGCAATTAAAGAGCTTATCTCAGACCCTGAGATGGATTGTTCTTCTGTAGATTCTTCTAAGAGCACATTTAATATCCCTATTCCTTAGGCAGTAGATGAAGGGATTTAACATGGGATTGACCACAATGTGAATAACTGAGGCCACCAAAACCTCTCTAGGAGACTGTTGTATTCCTGAACCAAGGTACACACCAATGCTTGTTCCATAAAATAAGCAAACAACTGACAGGTGAGACCCACATGTTGAAAAGGCTATATACTTACCACCAGTTGGTGATGTTTTCTGAATGGATGATATAATTTTATAGTAAGATAAAATGATTCCTGAGATGGGGAAAAAACCAAATATGACACCTGCAGTGTATTTCACAATGTTCTTAGAGAATGTGTCAGAACAGATAAGATTAAAGACATGAGATGGATCACAGAAAAAATTGGAAATTTCAGCACCTTTGAAATTATTAAATTGTAAGGCAAGCAAATTATGCAGCTTGGAGTTCAAAATACTAACCAAAAGGGACAGGAAAATTAAGAATACACATACACGAGTATTCATAATGACTGGGTAATGCAGTGGATGACAGATGGCCACAAACCTGTCATAGGCCATCACAGTCAGAAGCATGTCATCCATACTTCCAAAAATGATATAAATAGACATCTGCATTAGGCAGCCCACACATGATATGACCCTACTGTGAATTTGGATGACCAAAATCAGGTTAGGCACTGTGGTGGAGATGAAACAGATGTCAGCCAAAGTCAGGCTGTAGAGGAAGAAGTACATGGGGGTGTGGAGGTGTGAGTCACAGCTGATTGCCAAGATAATGAGCAGGTTCCCAAGCACTGTGACCAAGTGCATGGACAGGAACAGTCCAAAGAGGACAGGTTGCAGTTCTGGAACTTCTGAGAGACCCAGGAGGTGAAATTCAGAGACAGGTGTTATATTTTTTCCTTCTATATTGCTTGAACACCTTTCTAAAAAGAAAAAAGAAAAAAAGTAAACAGGCTTCAGCATTCTGTTTATGTTTTGTATTCTTATACTCTCAAGCCAAGTCTGAATATTTAAATTCAGTACATCTTTTTCAATATTTCTCGGTTGTTGACAAATCCAGTCTTCTTGGATCTCTTTCATTATTGGTTTCTGAATTATTTCCTTCCATCCATACACACTTAATTTGAAGACATTTAAATAAACCATTCTAGAGGATTAAAACATGGGTGATGATAATAAGTCCTGGATTACAGTAAAATTATGCCCTTTCTTTTATTAAACTATATGATAAATAATGTATTTAATCCTTTCAGAAAAAATTCATTAGATGAATTTAAGAAGATTCCAATGTATGTAATTTTATATAAAACCAAAATAAAATATCCTTATACTTTGAATAATCCTAAAAACAGTAAAAGTTCTAGGACTGGATAACCTGAATAGTAAATGAAAATTGATCATTTAAGAGCATATTTATGTCCTGGTTTTCCTGCAGAGCTTTCTATTTATTGTTTTTGTGTTTCTGGTTTCCGCTTTTATTTTAATTTAAAATACTTATGGGCTTTTATATTGTACAGAATGATTTCATTGAGACATTTCCATGTATGCTCATTAAGGATTTTGGTTACATTCACCCACCATCATCTTCCTCTTCCCTACCTAAACTGATTTCAACAAATTTCATTTTTCTCTTTTTATGTAATCATATTACATACATTGAGCCTATTTATAATCCTTTATAACATTAGGTGCTCATTCAAGTTTTTTTGACTTTTAATTAGTATTTTATATCTATTCTTATTCTTGGCTTTGTTGACTTCTATATTTTATGGATAGTATTCATTTTAATGCCCCTGATCATGACACCAGTTGGGACAAATGTGCTTTTTGTTTACACTGCAAAGTTTAGTGAATGAAAATCAAGTTGAAGAACATTTAAATTTTTTATATAGATTTATTTTGTCAATTATATATAAAGTCAGTGAAAATGGACATGGGCTTTTAATTTTTCTTGATTCTATTTTCTGTAGTAAAATTGTAAGGCTCATTCATTGTTTATCTAATCACAAACCATCTCATTTACACAGGAGGACTTTGGCACAATGGACAGCTCCAATTCCATGATTTGGGACCTAAACTTCATATCCCTAGTTAACAGACTTTCTTATTTTTGTTAGTATATATCAAGTATACAGAACAAGTGGATGTAATGTGGTATTTTTGTACATTCATATAACACAGTTTGATCATATTCATGTTCATCCCCAATTATCCTGCCTTATATTTTGCTCTCTCCAAGAACTTTTCTCCGTATTCTTCTGTAATAGTCTTTCTCAAGATTTATGTAATCTATTATCTGCATCCCACATAGTAGAAAAAAAGATGAGATAATTTTCTTTCTGAGTCTGGCGTATTTCTCTTAACATAACAATCTCAAGTTCTATCCACTTTACTTGAAAGTGCATGATTTTATTTCTTCTTCATTGTTGAATAATACCCCATTGTGCAAATATACAATCTTTCTTTTATCCATTTGTCAGTTTATGAACAAAAATTCTAATAGCTTACATATGTTGAATATGGTTCAAATAAATGTGAGTTTGTAGCTATATGAATAGAGAGATGACTTTGATTTAGTGAGACAGATATTTAGAAGCAGCACAATTTTATTTTATGTGTATTCTACTTTTAAGTTTTTTGAGGAATCTCCATATTTACTTTCATAGTAGATGGGAAATATTTTGCTGCTCCTGCCATGAGTAGGGGTTCATTTTTCCCTCATACTCAGTAGCATTTATTATCTTTTTTATTTGTGATAATAACTTCTGATTTGTGTGAGAGGCAATCTCAATGGAATTTTGATTTGCTAAAGATAATGGATAGTTTTTCTCATATAAATATATGGCACTTGTTCTTTCATGCCAAATTTTCCTCATGCATGCATATGGTTCTCCTTTTTCAACCACATAAAGTCAACTTAAGTTAAACAGTTTTCTAGCTCTAAATCAGATATAATTTGGAAGCAATGATAAAGAGAAAAATACAGCAAATTGTTTAAACATATCTAGAAGTTCATCATTTGCAATTTGACACAGAAGATTATTTACCTATACTATGTAGAGATCTTTAAAAAATTTTAAAGGAATTATAGTGATTGGAGCACAGTTCAGTAGTAGAGCTCTTACATAGAAATTGTGAGGCTCTGTGTTTGATCATCATCACTGAAAATAAACTTCTAGTGATATGACAAGTGGTTGTCCATATCATTTATCTGAGGATATTTTTAAATGATCACGTATCCTGGCTTAAGACCCTAAGCAATAGAATCAACATATCTGGGTGTGAAGTTCTCAATTATACTGCAGTTAAGAAACATAAATATTTTTGCACTAAACCATGGTTCATTAATATGACATTTTTTGTAGTAATGGAGATTGATCCCATGGCTTTATGCATTATAAGCAAATGCTACGCTGCTTGAGCTATGCTAGGTTCAATCTCTCTTGTTTATAATTTGTTTTTGTGCCTGAGTCTTGCTAACTTTTCCTGGGCTGGCCTTGAAATTACAATCCTCCTGCCACCTCTTCATGAGTAACTAGGATAACATATTAGCACTCCCATGCCTATTTTCTCACATAACCTTATATTAGTGTTAACTAATTTCATAGCAATTTTAAAACACAAGCATTTAGTAATTGCTTTATCACCTAAAACTCATTAAAATAGTACTAAACAACTGTTGCCCATGAATTTCACTGGTTCACATCAACATCCGGATTTAACTCTCAAGAAATTACATAAAGTTACTTCAAATGATTTATTTGATGGACACGATTACCTGAGGTAGGGATATGATTTTACTTGCTGCTTTACTATTAGAAAAATACTTTAAAATTTATTGCACCTCCCACCATATTATATAATTCAAAATTTCCTTAGTTTATTTCAGGTGAAGATGTTATTTGACTTCCCCAAATTAATACTCAGTTTATAACTAAAGCACATTTTATTCAAATAAATACTTATCATTAAGTATATCTTCTTGTTCTTAATGTGCACCATCAAAATACTGCAGTATGTCTGACAATGAGCCATTCAGGAGAGCTCATAATGAAATTTCTTATAGAAGTTGAAGTAATACTTCCTTTTCCTTTAGTAGAGGAGTGTCGTCAGCAAAACATTTGGGTCTTGACATCACTGACATGATACTATATGGAAAATGTAGGTAAATATCTCTATGTCTCTGTGCTCATATGCATAGATTACAATATGGAGAAGTACACAAATCTACACAAAATGTATAGCAGGTAATATAGGTTTAAAAACATAAATATTCTTATGATTATATATTTGAAACAAAGTAACAATTTCTATCAGTCAGAAAATAAAGAGTTAACTGATCACGGCAACCATCAAAGGTCTTGGAGGCCTTGGAACAATATGAAAGTTTCAAATGGGTCTCAGCTCAATGAATGACTTTCACCAGCCCAATGCCTTGTTGCCTCTTTTTTATAGCCATGAATATCTCTACCCAATTTTTAACAATTGAATATTTTGATGTAACTAAGTAAAATTATTTTGCCTGGTTATCCATGACTTTGACACCAGTAGAAAATAGTCACTCTTCTCTGAATACCTATGGAATATTCCCCAAATTGATCAAAATATAAGAGGAAAGTATAAAGTATACTGAAATTCCAGTAATTTTAATTTTCATGAGCCAAAGAGTTTCTAGTGAATGCTTGTCAGGTTTTTTTTTTAAATTTAATGACTCTACTGCATAAGTTTAAGGATCTATACAATCAAAAATGAGAGACTTATTCAATAATCTTCAAGTACATGCATATAATCATACAAAGGCAAAAATGTGTCTGGTTATAGCAAAAACTGTCAATTTCAGATCATAGGCTATGTTAATTGAGTGGTATGAATTTTAACATTACCTGTGATGCTACTAACATAGAAATTGTATCTCATCTTTATTATACACCCTTATAAATTAATAACATGGGGAGCCTTTTAGTGACTGTTCAATGCAGCTGAATCAACTGTAAATCAACTCGGATTATAATGCTGAGTCTCATAGACACTAACACGTGCTGCTTTTCACAGACAAAATGTTTAACCAATAGAATCCAAAATTATTTTCAGTACCTAGGTAATATATGATAATATTTCATACAGATTCCAAGCCGCTGAAAACAATTAGATAGGTTGCATACATAAAAGACATAAGTACAATTTAGATCCATTCTAAAATGACTTCCAATTCTACAGCAGGGAGGAAGACAAGGCCTGACTTAAGTTTCTTTTTGGGATTGAGTAGGCTCTTTAAAAGAATGCAGGAGAATGTGCACAGCTGTAAGAATATCCTGGAATAGGAAGAGAGAGATCACGGCTTATTGATGATTGCCTTCTCTTTCTGTGACCTTTTCTCATAATCTCTGCCATTCTTCCTACCATTATTGCAGCAGATACCACCCACTGATCTCTTCAGTGAACTTGTGGCAAACTCAAAATGGAAGAACACCATCAAAACTGTGTCTCATCTTGGAGTGACAGGGTAATGAAATGACTATTGGAGTTGTTGTGGTAACAATCTAAAGGGATTACTTTGATCTGTTAATCTAATTAGACAGCTCAATTGAAAGATGCCATTAGTGATTTTGACCTGAAATACTTGCATTTACATTAAAATTATGTGCTGATGTTTTTCTATAATGATAGCTATAATGCATAACTTATAACCTAGAAAAGTACTATGCATATGTATTAAAATAATCTACATATAACCCATAGCTCAAAACTTGCCACTCAGGCAATCTCGCAATAATCATTCATGATGTTATATCATCCTAATCCTCTCCTCCCTATCAAATATATAAACCTTTATAAGTGTTTAGGAAACATTTTAACAGTACCCATTTCAATTAAATGTTTATGGGAAGCAGAACCATAGTAAGAGGGAATCAAAAGTTAAGTGAGATTACTTAGATACCCTCCACAAACAGAAACATAAAAATTGCAGTCCCTATACTGAGATTTATGTATTATTTTTATCATTTTACAATAATAATTCTGTATTTTTACTGACAATGAAGATATAATCTTCTGATAGTCTTTCTTACTACTTTATCCCCCTCAGCATACACTGATTTACATAGAGCTCTGTGGGTCATTACTAAAGTATTAAGATTCTACGTCCACCTACTTCTTGGTGTCCAATGTAGGCTTAGTCTCCATCTTCAATGTTAATATGAAAAGAAAATCAGATATTGGTTTCTTGATGCTAACAAACAAAAGAAGAAAAGACACAAATATGGAGCCAGCTGTAAGACAGACATCAACCTGAAGGACTGGAGTGACAAGCTTCTTATTGTCTACTTTATGACCTTTGCAGCTTAATCCACAGAGCTCATCATTACCCAAATTAATTTATGATATCCCATTCTCTAAGGTATTTGCAACATTAATGGAGAAAGAAGGGTAGAAAATGAATGACCTCAATAAATTTTTAATTAATGCCACGCAGATTTGTCCTTATCAATACTGAAGACCATACATTTATAAAATTTGACTTTTACCATTTCGTCCTGTTCTAAGGAAGCTTATGTGTGATATGTCTTTCTATTCTTTTTAAACATTCATTTTCATTTTAATAATTAGTATATATTCATTATAGAAAATTGTGAATTGATTTTGGAAACTGTTTAAGTCATCTTAAGTAGGGGAACGTGGGAAGATGGGCAATAATGGTGAGGATGACCTTAACCTAGCTACACTGTAAACATATATGGAAATGTTTAAATGAAACATGTTGTACAACTAATATATAGTAATAAACATTTGAAAAGAACATTATACCAAACATCAAATAAAAATGCATGCTTTTCTTCATTGACAAGGACACATTTCTCTGGCATTAATGACATTCACATTTGGTGTCTCCATCATGAATATGCATTTCAATAAAGCTTGCTTCTTCACACACTACAAACTGATGCATTATTAAGTAAAAATATTTCCAACTTATCTGACTCCTGATTCTGGCTACCACCATTCTACTCTAAAACAGATTGAAAAATTAAAGTCATTAAACTAGAAAATGTGATCAAAGAGATAGTATTATAGGTGCAGATGTTTACTTTGCTGTATTTCCATCTTACAATGGTAGTGAATGCCACAGGTCCTAAAAGTAGACTGATCTGCTACACAGCTTCTTAAGGGAATTGTTAAAATTCCTGCTCCTCATTCAGAAGATAAAATTCTTCAGTATAAGGGTGGTCTCACACTGGCATGATTGAGGCCACCCAATCATTTTCTTAGAGATTGCAATGTTAGAAACAAGAACCATGCAAATTCTTGTTCGATAAAAAAACCATGGAATTTACAAGTTGAATCCATAGAGGTACACATTATGACACATCCTTTCCCACAGCATGAGATTCTAAGAAAATATGGAATAACACTGTGGTAATAAAAATGTACCACTATAATGAGAAGAGATATTATGCCAGCAAAATTCTTGACAATTTAATGAAGAAGATGTCATAAGAAAGATTAAGGGACTTCAAGAGAAATAAGAAGAAATTATAAATTTCCATATCCTTGAAGTAATTAAAATGTAAGCAAATAAAAAATGTAGCTGGACTACACAGAGTACACCAACCTAACATGCCACAACTATGCAGGTTTATAGTGGGTTGTGAAGTGGGTGAAAGAAAGCCAGAGTGGTCATAAGCAATCACAATTAAATGTACATTATCCATATACAGGCAATAAAGATAAGACACCTTTCTGACAGGCATAGCCCATATCATTGCTACCCTACTGTGAATTTGCATATTCACAACAATCTTTGGTACCATAGTAGAAATTGTGGAAATGTCAAAGAAGAACATGCTTCAGAAGACAAAGTGTATGGAAGAATGAATATTTGAGGCTGAGATGACCAGGATGATGTGCAAGTTCCTGAGCACAATGCTTAAATATATGGACAGAAAGTGTTTCCCAGAGAATAAGTTGGAATTCTAAGATATTTGTTAAGTTATGTGTTTCTACACTGTTAAGAAATCTTCTGAAATAGAAAGCAGGAAGAACAGGGAACAAATAAATGGGAAACCACTATACAGTTTGTTCTCAAACGCTTGAAAATAAAGTATTCACTAGAGTCCCACACTTCAAAAACATGGGCATGTTGATACATGTCTGTAATTCCAGCTATGTGGAAGGCTAAGATGGGAGAATCACCATCTAAGACTGACCCAAATGTAAGAGCCTAACTGAAAAATAAACTAAAGCAAAAATACCTGAGGATGTGACTCAAGTATGGAAGTACTTTTCTTGCAAGTTCAAGGTCCTGAGTTTCATACCCAGTACTGCATATGCGTGTGTGTCTTTGTTCAAACCCCAGTACTGTATGTGTGTTTGTGTGTTTATCTCACGTTTGATAAACCCATTCTATCTAGGGCTCTCATATTACTTGGTTCTCTCTAAATCAACATTTTCTATTCCCCTCCACCTTGGAAATACTCACTGATCTGTTAGTAGACCAGAAATAGCAGAGATAACCAGTACTTGATTATAGTAAACTATAGCATACTCTCCAAAGAAAAAGAGTGAATTGGTAAAATAGACTTTCTCTTTACAAAGGCATTCTAATTTAAGTATATCAAGGAACAGTGAAATGTATTTATGTCATTCAGAGACAATCACACAAATTACTTTTGCATACAATACTTAAAACACTACATAGGAGAAAAGAATAAATTAACTGAATGCCAAATGAAAGTTGATGCTATATAATCAGAAAATATATGTGCCAGTTAGTTATGTTTAGTAAGTTTCGTTATTCTTTGAATTTATGATTTTCCCTTGAATTTATTAAATTTAAGTGCTCCCTCAAAGGTTACTTGTCTTTAGAAAATCACACAATATATACAATTTATACTCAGGTCCAGTAGCTTTCATATTTTATAAATATGAAATCAATGATATCATTATACTAGCTACTTTTTTATTTGCTATGACAGAATGCCTAACATTACAACTTAAGGGAGTAAGGATTTATTTTAGCTCACAGTTTCTGAGGGTTTTGTCAGTGGCTGCTTGGCCCAAGGACTTAGGCAAGGTTCATGACTGCAAGGGCATGGTGGAGGACATTCATTATAGTGGAGAAGTAACAGAGAAAAGAGAACATAGGAAGTATAAAAAGAATTATGTAGACCCCAGTGACATGCCCCTTGATGGAGTTTCTTCAGATAGGCCACACCTAGTCCTACATTTACCTCTTACTAATAATGCTATTATATTATGAATTCATCAAGAGATTAATCCATTCATACAGAAAGTGTAACTTTTGTAATCTATATATGGTGGTCTAAAGAAAGGCCACCACAGATACACCCAGAAATATATTGTACCAATCTCATAGACATTTCTTACTTTAATCAAAATGGCAATCATAACTAACCAACAAAATCCACACTTGGTCAATTTGACACTCAAATCTCCTTAGCTATAACATTCTAAAGCTGGACCCCAAAAGACTCATGTCCATCTAATAAAACAAAATGTATGAAGTCCATATCCAAGAGTATCTTTTGTGTTATGATTTCCAACATTATTCAAATTTTTTAATCAGTTACTTTCCTGATATTCAACCAAAACTCTTAACTGGGAGTACCTGTAATAATCACAAGTGAGTTATATACCACCAATATGCAATGACACAGAATAAACACTCCTCTTCAAAATGGGAGATGCAGGTGACTTACAAAGGCAAGTGAGTACCACAATAGAAATTCTCTATACAAGAATGAATACAGAATTTTTAAAGCTGTTGAAATTACCATAAGAAGGGGACTAAGACAGAAAGAAGAAAAATAGAGGAGATGAACCAGTTCAGGTTATAATTTGTATATTCATGCAAATGTCATAAGGAAAGTCCCTGGATAGTTATCTTAAACATATAAAAATGTCATTTTTTTCTTCCAGAAATCGGAGAACAGGAGGATGGAATTGTTCCTGTCTGGAGAGGGGTGTTAGTACCAGTGAGAAGGGGAGGATGTGGGAAAGGGTGTGAAAGAGTCAACATAGTGCAAATATTATGTACACATGTGTATAAATGTAACAATGAGACCTGTTGAATCTATTCCAGGAATAAGGGGGTTAATGCATAATCGTGGAGGGGTCAAATTCAAGTATGTTGTATTTGATATTTTGTAGGAATTTTTGTAAATGCCACAATGAATCTCCAGCAAAACAACACAAAAAAAGAAAAAGAAGAAAGATGTACAGTTAGAGAACAGGGAAAACACAGAAATACTGAAAATAAGAAACAAAGGTCCATAATGTAGCTATCTAATAAAAATGGCAGAGAAATGAGCGAACCTTTCCAATAGAGCAGCAAACAAGAGAATAGGAAAGGCCACCTCAGGAGGTGCCACAAGCACACCAACTGGAACTCTGAAGAAAGGAAGTTTAAGCTTCAGGTGCACCAAGAAAACCCCACAGAAGTGGTTCCCTACACATCCTGATTCACTCTCCAGTCTTATGGAAGGTAGGGTACAGAGGAGAATTCTTAAATACAAGATTCCCAACTGAAAAGAGCAGAAGACAAGCTTTTTCTTTATATATCATTCCTATATATATCAACCCCTTTACCTGTCAGATGATCACCCACATAGACTCAAAAAAATCGTTGGGTACTTAGGCTCATACCCACTGACACAAAAATGTTTGTGGTGGTACTCACTTCCTAGAATGCCCACCTGCTGAACTTGGAATCTCCCACAGACCTCCCACAGGGAAAGTCCAAAGCTACCCTTTTCCTTAACCTGAAACTTTTGTGCTCCTTTGGAAAGTGCAGGCTTCCAGAGGCATACTCTGACTTTCCCAGTGTTTTGAGCTACCATCCCACATAAGTTAATGGAAAGAACCATTCATGCTCAGAGCTGTTGCTGATCTCTGAAGCTGTTGCTGTGCTCCTGGAGATTCCTAACCCCATGGAGCTGCTGTGAATGTCCAGGTAAGACCCCTGACACCCAGATCTCCTGCTGTGGTGCCCATCCTGGTGTGTTCTGGAGAAATTACTATATACCAATAGCCAACCAGCACCCCAGAGTTGCTGCTAAACACTAATAGCTGCTGGAGTTAACAGCTTCTGTAGGGGATATTGCATGTCCACATATGATCTGTATACCAGAACTACTGATTCACACTCACAGTCGCACTTCATCCTGCAGCGGCTGACTCACACACAGACCAATATGTACAGTTTGCAGTCTGAGGAAAAAACTGGACAGTACCATACTGAAAAGGGAACCAGCAATAAACCCATTGAGAGAATCACAGATGAAAACCTGATGGCCAGAAGTTACAGGAAAACACCTGCTGCCCCTAAGACAACAGTCTGTATCGAACCTTTTCTCAGCAAGGAATTTTCATTGACTAGTTTTCATTTTCATTTTTTTCTGTTTTCTCTTTCACTGCAAAAATTATAATATGCTCCCTTACAATTTATTTCTAATACCTTCATCCCATATAATTATCTTCCCTTTACATAAGTATCTTCCTTGTTTGTCATGCCTTTCCCTACTATGCCTTTTTTGTGTTATTTGATTTTTGATACATATAAATTCAATAAATTGCAAACTCCTAGATTTTCCTAACAGAACTGTAGTTCTTTTCTTCCATAACTTAAGTAGGGATGACGTTTGTTTTCCTCAATTTTATTACACTTAAATAATTGGTTAATTTTTTTAAAAATTTCATTCATTTATTCACATGTACATACATTGTTTGGGACATTTCTCCCCCCATCCCAGCTCCCCCCACCCCCTCGTTTCCAGGCAGAACCTGTTCTGCCCTTATCTCTAATTTTGTTGAAGAAAAGACATATGCAATAATAAGAACTACAAAGCATTTTGATTAGTTGAGATAAGGATAGCTATTCAGAGAGATTCCTAGATTGCTTCCATGTACAAATGTTTTACAACCCAAGTTAATTCATCTCTACCTGACCTCTTCACTACTTCCCAGTCACTTTCACATTGACCTCTGTCATTTTAAAGTTACTACATTAACTCTTCTGCAGAGGGGGCATCAAACACTTTCAAGTTTTGGGTTTCCTACCTATCCCCATTCCTCCCGTGTGTGCTCTCCCCTTAGCATGTGACCCAAGTCCAGCAACATTGCTGTATTTGTCCTAGATCTAAAGTCCACATATGAGGGAGAACATATGATTTTTGGTCCTTGGAGCCTGGCTAACCTCATTCAGAATGATGTTTTCCATTTCCAAACATTTACTTAAGAATAATAAGATTTCATGCTTCTTCATGGCTGAGTAAAACTACATTGTGTGTAAGTACCACATTTTCTTAATCCACTCTTCTGTAGAGAGGCATCTTGGCTGTTTCCATAACTTGGCTATTGTGAATAGCGTTGCAATAAACATGGGTGTGCAGGTTCCCTTGGAGTAACCTGTGTCACATTCCTTTGGGTGTATCCCCAGGAGTGAGATTGCTGGATCACATGGCTGATCGATGTTTAGATTTCTAAGAAGCCTCCATATTTTTTCCAGAGTGGTTGCACTAGTTTACATTCCCACCAGCAGTGTATGAGGGTTCTGTTTTCCCCACATCCTCTCTAACACCTGTTGTTAGTGGTGTTTTTAATGATGGCTCTTCTAACAGGGGTGTGGTGGAATCTTAGTGTGGTTTTGATTTGCATTTCCTTTATGGCTACCAATGCTGAGCATTTTTTATGTGTTTTTTTTGGCCATTTGAATTTCTTCTTTTGAGAAAGTTCTGTTTAGTTCAGCTGCCCATTTCTTTAGTCGTTCATTGGTTTGGGGAGAGTGTAGTTTTTTAAACTCCCTGTATATTCTGGTTATCAGTACTTTGTCTGATGTATAGCTGGCAAATATTTTCTCCCACTCTGTGGGTGATCTTCTCAGTTTAGAGACCATTTATTTTGTTGTGCAGAAGATTTTTAATTTTATGAAGTCCCATTTGTCCATCCTTTCTCTTAATCACTGAGCTGCTGGGATACTATTGAGTAAATTCTTGCTTATAACTATTGCTTACAGAATATTCCCTACTCTTTCCTGTACTACAGAGTTTCAGGTCTGATATTAAGGTCCTTGATCCATTTTAAGTTGGTACTAGTAGAGGGTAATAAACATGGATCTAGTTTCAGTTTTTTGAAGAGGGATAACCACTTTTCCCAGCAACATTTGTTGAAGATGCTGTCTTTACTCCATCATATATTTATGGTGCCTTTGTCAAAAGTAAGATGGGAATAGCTACATGGATTCATATCTGGGTCCTCTATTCTATTCCACTGGTCTTCATGTCTGGTTTTTTTTTTTTTTGCCAGTAACATACTGTTTTTATTGCTATTGCTTTGTAATATTGTTTGAAGTCAGGTATTGTGATACCTCCAGCATTGCTCTTTTTGCTGAGTATTGCCTTGGCTATTTGCAATCTCTTGTGTTTCCAAATGAACTTTAGGGTAAATTTTTCAATCTGTGCTATGGATGTCATTGGGATTTTGATGGGAATTGCATTAAACAAGTAGATTGCTTTTGGTAGTATAGCAATTTTTACTATGTTGATTCTACCAATCCAAGTGCACAGGAGGTCTCTTTTTCATTTGCTTGTTGTGTTATTGATGCTGTTTTCTTTTCTCTGAGTGATAGTGAAAGAGACATGCACTGTGCACATATGCAAATTGTAATGTACAAACAACTAATATGAAAATGAAAAGAAATATGAATCTCTCCAAATCTCATAACAGCTCACTAACTGATTTCAAAGGTAGCAAAATGGCTAGGACGTGAGAAAAATATAATTCAATGATTTATTTATCAAAATGATCAATAACTTCAAAGTAGATTCAAACAGAAATGAATTATGAGAATAAAGTTAACATCTAGATAAGAAAATAAACAACATGGATGATAAATTTGGTAAGGAAATTGAGATTCTTAAACATGTTGGCAATGGAAAGGTCAACAAATCAATGAAATAGAAGCATACAATAGCTCAATACCAGTAAATCAAGCAGAAGAAATAATGTCAGTAATTGAAAATAAGATCAAAGAATCATTACATGTAGACAGAAATAAAGAAAAAAGTAAACAAGGGAAACAAAATATCAGGAATTATTATATATTATCAAGAGACCAAATATAAGAATCCTTGATGTAGAAGAAGGAGCTGAGATGCAAACTGAAGGAATAGAACACCTCTTCAATAAAATGATAGCAGAAGTTTTCCAAAATTTTGGAAAAGATATGGGCATCCAAGAGCAATACGCATTTAGAATCCTACATGAGCAGAAAAGAATCTGCTCATGCCATACTGTAGTTAATATACAAAAAACAGAGAACAAAGAAAGGATATTGAACTCTCACAAGAAAAACACCAATACACCAACAAAGGCAAACCATTATGATTTACTTCAAAATTGTCAGAAGAGTACTTAAAATTCAGCAAATAACAGAATGTATATTTACAACTGTGAAAGAAAATAACAGCCAACGAAGTTTACAGTTTTTTTTCAAAGTTAATCTTCAAAACCAATAGAGTAATAAAGTCCTGAAGGTAAGCATCAACTAAAGCAGCACATGTCCACAAAACCTGAACACAGAAGATATTTAAACATAAGTTCAATGATTGGATTAAAAATAAGAACAAACGTTCATAGCCAAAATGAACACACCTTACAAGTTAACATGGTATACATACGTATATGTGTGTGTGTGTTTCAGATTGCGTGTGTGAAGTAACATCATATTATTAATTTATACTAAATAAAAAATTAAATGAAAAAATTGTACAATAAAACAAAATTATCACACAGTAATAGTGAAAGGATGAAAAACAATACATAGGAAGTGAAATTTGAAAATAAAAGATAGCTATGCTAGGGTCTGAGAAAGTAGACTTCAAGCCAAATGAAATAAAGAAGAATTAAGAGGTACATGTTACATTTTCTTAGATTTTTCTTCTTTTATAATGCTCAGAGACTTTTTAAAAATAAAAAGTCATGTGACTTAGGTTACGCCAGAGGCACCTGCACATCCATGTTTATTGCAGTGCTATTCACAATAGGCAAGTTATGGAAGCAACCAAGATGCCCCACTACAGACATGTGGTTTAAGAAAATGTGGTATTGTACACAATGGAATTTTACTCAGCCATGAAGAAGAATAAAATCTTTTTATTCTCAAGTAAATGGATGGAACTGGGGAACATCATCTTGAGTGAGGTTAGCCAGGCTCAGAAGACCAAAAATCATACATTCTTCCTCATATGTGGATTTTAGATTTAGGCCAAATGCAGCAGTGTTTTGGGACTTGGGTCATGTGCTAAGGGGAGAGCACAAATGGGAGAAATGTGGATAGGTAGGAAACCCCAAACTTGAAAGTGTTTGATGTCCCCACTGCAGAGGAGTTATTACAGTAACCTTAAATGACAGAGATAAATATGTGAAAGTGACTGGGAAGTAGTGAAGAGGTCAGTTAGAGATGAATAAATTCTGGTTGTAATATGCTTGTGCATGGAAGCAATGCTAGGAATCTGTCTGTATAGCTATCCTTATCTCAACTAGCAAAAATGCTTTGTCTTTCTTATTATTGCTTGTGTCTACTCTTCAACAAAACTGAAGGAAAGGGCAGAACAGGTTCTGCCTGGAAGTGAGGGGGATTGAGGGGATAAGGAGGAGATGGGGCCGGGGAAGAAATGGCCCAAACAATGTATGTGCATACGAATAAATTAATAAAAAAAACATTAGGAAAAGGAAAGAAACTGACACCTACCACATGTGTTTAAAAATTTATAGCATACAATAATTATTTGTTATATATACATAAAGGAATATATTGTTTTGATTAAATTCATCCTAATTATGTAACTGTTTAATCCCTTTGCATCCTTCCCTGTCCTTTTTATCAGTTTTAGAGGATTTCACTATGCAGTTTTCATACACACACATATAATATACTTAAATCATGTTGAATATTTAATGTAAGTAATTATACCTATGGCTTTTCCATTTGAGGTCCATACACCTTTAACTACATTTCTCACTTGTGACAAATACACATTTCATGTAACTCTTAACGTTATTGTTTTCTGTGTTATTCACTTTCACCACAGACATCTATTTTAGACACCATTTTTTTATTGTTGTACTTAGTGGGAATACATTGTGGCATTTGCAAAAGTTCTCATAATGTATCATGGCAAGTCTATCTTCAGTTTTTGAGAAGCCTCCATATTGTTTTCTGCAGTTGTTGTACTAATTTACATTCTCAACATCAATGTGTGAGGGTTTCCTTTTTACCCACATCCTCAGCAGCATTTTTTATTGTTTGTGTTCTTGATGGTACTATACTAAAAAGAGTGAGTCAGAATCTTAGTATGGTTTTTATTTGTATTTCCTTTCAGGATACAGTAATTGAACATTTCTTCATGTGTTTTTAATCATTTTGACTTCTTCCTTTGAGAAAGCTCAGTTCAGATAATTTTCCCATTTCTTCATTGGGTCATTGCGGTTTTGAAAGTTTAGTGTTTTGAACTCCCTCTATACTCGCATTATCAGTTCCTTGTCCAATATATAGTTGGCAAAGATTTTCTCCCATTCTGTCGAAAGCCTCTTCAATTTAGACACCATTTCTTTTTCTGTGTGGCAGCTTTTAATTTTATGTAGTACATTTGTCAACCCTTTCTCTTAGTTGCTGAGCAATTGGAGTTCTATTGAGAAACTTTTCTGAAGCTGCTTATTGTGTCAAGGATTTTTTGGTGGAGTTTTTCAATACACAAAAGCAATTTAAAAAAGAAATATTATGCCTATACTAGTAGCTCACACCTGTAATCCTAGATACTCAGGAGACAGAGATCAGGATGATTGTGGTCTGCAATCAACTCATGAGAACCTATCTCAGAAATACTCAACACAAAAGTGGGTTAGTGGAGTGATTCTAGGGACAGAGAGTCTGCATAGCAAATATTAAGTCATGATTTCAAACCCCAGTGCCATCAAAAAAAACCCAAAATCTTTACACTAATAAGTTAATCATCACAGTAAAATGTACCCCTCGTCTTTATAAAATTTTTTTAGAATAAGAAATACAATGTTGACCTCCAAAATCTTGTTCTTCTCATTAAAGGAAATGAAAAACAAGGTAGATATGCCCTATCTTATTTTAGGAATATAATATGCAGTTTCTTTTTAAAACACTATTTGTAAACACCCAGTAACACCTAGGACTGCATCATCTGACTCATGAATATGATCAATAGCTTATAATCAAAAAATGTTTTTATGTGGTAATTGTTTCCATGGACTTTTTCATAATTTTCAGGTTTTCAGATTCCCCTGCTTTGTGGATGTAAGTGCTTACTACAAAGGTTTTATCTTTTAAAATTTGTTTATTATTTGGTCCCCACTTGACTTTTGTTTAATTTACATCAATATGCCATACAGTGAACCCATACATGGAAAATTTCCTACATATTTGAAACACTTTGCATGTTTAAAATTTTCTATAGTCTCAATTGTATCAGCAACATCTAATCTCCATAAAATATCTGGTAATATCTTGTTTTTTATATTTAAATTTTGTGTTCTATACATACCTTCTGAAACTGTTTAACTGTTTTTCCAAACATAAACTTCTTTTCAGTCAGGGTATTTACACCAAGGAATGTCTAATGCTCAGTTTTCAGTCACAACTTTCTTTTCTTCAGTTAACAGATTTTCTCATCAACCCTCTCTGAAGCATGCATTGCTATTACCTTGCCTCAACTGCGTGAACAAATCTCAGATTCATAATTTTGTCAGCGCCCACAATGATTTATTTGGGAAATGATGCATCTTAACTATGCAATATGTGATAAGTAATTACCTTCTTTACATACTAATTTCATAAGTTCTTAAAATATTATAAATTGAGTACAATAGTGTCTCTCATTCCTACTTTATTTATTAATATATTTTTCTGAATATGTTTCAAAGTATCTATGTACCCTGACGTTCTACCAAAACAATTTAATGAGAATATCTGCTTCTGAAGTTCTTGGTCATCTCTTGGGTTTTTTCATAAGTGTATTTTACTTGTACAAATGTGACTCAATGTGATATTCACATATATGCATATAATGTCCCCCCAATATCTGTTCTTATTCCCCTCCCTTCTAAACCTCACGTTTTTCATATTTTTTGTGGGTTTTATCATGCTATTTTGCTGCCTACCTACATTCAATATATTTCATTCACATTCATCCCTTATCATCCTCTCCTTTTCTACTCTTCCTTCCCTTGATACCCACTCAAAAAGTTCTCCTTTTAAAATTATGACACATTGCTATAATTTTAAGCCATCCATAATTAAATTGTGGTTGAGAACCAGTGTATTAGATGTCTTATAGCATGAAGAATTGTGCACAAATATTAAGTGCTATTACTGTGAGTGAAATTGATTATCAATTTTAAAATATAAACATTAAAACATGTGCTCTTCATAACTAGTATTTTATCTAGGTTTGAATTATTTTCTATGAAATTTAATTATTGGTGTACAATGATTACCATCTCCTAAATATTTATCCCTCAGAGACAAGAACTCTAATGAATTCCGTGGACAGATTTTTCTCTCAATATTTCCACAGCAGTATTTACTTATGTTTCAAAAAACATTGCTCTTAAAATAATACTTTAAAAAAAACATAAATTCAGTCAAAATAGCATACAATGCAACACCTGGTTGCCAGAAACTAGTTCATAGTCACATTTGCCTTTATTTTTCTATGAAATGCATACACCTATGCCAAATGCTCTTATTTACATTCTGCATCACTTTATCAAATAATATTTTCCATTTTTCTCTTTTCTTTTTTCAGTGGTATTTTCAGTTTTACTTTTAGACACTTACACTTGTGGTTCCTAACACTAATGTAGGTTATTTTATTACTTGTAACCTTTTTTCCTTAATGTCTCCTCTCTAAAGGACAATGATGGCTTAGAGACACCCATATATGACACTGGCATAACCTTCAGACTGATCCAAAACAACAAGTGTGTAGCTACAGAGAGAGCTGGAGAGTTGTGGGAAAGCACTGGAGTAGGGCAGTAGAAAGTCAAGGTCCAGGTGAAACCCAGAAATACTGTACTTTGGAGATGTAAAAGAACCAGAAGATACTCAGAAGGCAGAGGCAGGAAAATTTTGAGTCTAAGCCAACTTAGTGAGACCCTTTTTTTAAATTTAATTTAATTTTTGTGGTACTGGAACTTGAACTCAGGGCTTTCACCTTGAACTACACTGTGAGCCCTTTCTGTGATGGGTATTTTCAAGATAGCATCTTGTGAACTATTTTTTCTGGGTTGTCTTCAAACAACACTCCTCCTGATCTCTACCTTCTGAGTAGCTCAAATTACTGGCATGAGCCACTGGCACCTGGGTTTAGACATTATTTAAAATATATATATATATATATAATAAATTTTAAATAGTTCTGGCCATATTGTTCAACTTGTAGAGCATTTGTGTAGTCTGTGCAAGATCTGAGATTCTCTGTAACACACACACACACACACACACACACAGATCCCTGATTCTAGATGTATAGTAACATAGATAGTAGAGAAATGAGCTGCTATCCCTTAGTGTTGATAAAAGTGAAAGAGATATAAAGAGAAGTTCTGAGTGTTTTCCACAAGCATAGAATTCAGCACGGTGCACAATATACTCTAAGAAATCTAGTCACACAGGATACACTCAAGGAGCTACCACTGAAGAAGAGTGGCCTTACACTTCCTTGCATGGTGCCTTTCTGGGAGCCACCTAAAGAAATATCCTTCCATCTGAGGTTATTGAGTAGGGGATCAGAAAAACCTCACATTTTACACCTCCAAATCCTAATGGACTTTTCACTGTTTCAGTTATCAGCCACCTCAGGAATCAGTGCAGGCCTAGGGATGTGAGTATAATGTTGACATTAGTGTGTGGAGAAGTAGGAGTGCTGGCAACCACCTTCTGCAAAGCAGAGGGACCTAGAAGGTGTGCTTCCATTTAAAATTTATAATTGGGTCTCTGCAAAGAGGAGTGAGGTTACCTGTGATGGATTTCCATGTTTAAAGAAACTTGGACAGAATTCCCTCAAGTCTCAGTACTGTCAGCTCAATCCCCAGTGCAAGTTGCATTGACTCGGTTGTCTTCTCTATGCCCCAAGCATCAGAGGCATTGAGAGAATATTTGCCTCACCCATAAGTGTGTGTTTACAGAGAATGTGGAGTCAAACAACATCACTAAGTTGACCATGGCAAAGGTTAGAAGATGTATCCTAGGATTACAGGGTACACAAACCATCACAAAGAGCATACAGCCGTGAAGTGAGCCCTGAAGTAGATGTTGTCCTAGCCCACGTCAGACAAGTGCTCTCCATGACCACTGCATTTATGCTATTTATACCATTATACAGATCCATTATCTTCAGTGTGTTCTGGACCCAATGTCTTGCTTCCAAAAAATACAGTATGTCAAAAATCATGAGTCATTTCTTGTGAGATCAGATAATAGAAAGAACATGGTTCTTAACTTTATGGCAGTCTGTTACTTGCTTTAATGCTCTAATGGAAGCCAGCTTCAACATTTGGAATTTGCCCATGAAAGACTCCATTTGCAATTGCTTAGGGACTTTTCTAATCAATAACCTGAGAGGAAATGAATCCAGCAAGCAACCATTTACAGTGAGTATTGGAGCAAGAAATGCACCTATCATTTTGTACTCCAACAGTACAACCTTGCTGTGACTTTAGCCGTAAGTGACATTATGATTTCAGCTGGTATGATACTACTGACACATATAAGAACATATGATATTATTAATAGATAAATTACATCAAAAATTTACTAGTATCAAAACAGACATCAAATAAAATGAAAAGTTAAATTTTGGCTGTCATTCAAATCAGCAGTGATTATTACCACAGCCCCTATGCAAGAGCTATTGAAAGGAAAATGCAAAAATGCCTTTTAGAAACTAACCATTTTGTGTAGTGCCAGGAATCAAACCCAGGGCCTTGAGCATATTATGAAAGTTCTCTAAATCTGAGCTATGTCACCATCTCTTAGATACAAATCTTAATTGAGAAAATGGAAATAGGGTAGAATAATCACTGTAGAATTCCCAATTCTCCATACATTACATAATTAATGCAATGGATATCAGCATTTCAACGTCCTAACTTAGATAAGTCACATTTAATGTTAAGATACTTGAAATTGGAAACCAGAGTAATGAGTCCAATTGAGCTTTCTCCTGTGAAGAGAAAAGGCCACCCCATTCCAAGTGTATTCACATTTTTCTTCTTTGTCTTCCTTTGCTATTATCAAGTCCCCAGATATCAGTACAACATGGATCAATTTAACTAATTATGAGCTTTGTGTATTGAGCTCTCAAGGCAATAGTAATGTAAACAAAAATCAGCCTGTTTCTCTTGTCATTCAGTTTCCCTGGCCTCTCCAGTCATCTACCTGTCTTTGTCTTTTCTTTCAGAAAAACCATCTGCTTCTAGGTGTTCATGTGTGATTCTGTCTTACTGCTATTTCTGACAAGGAAACCTCCACCCTCATCACACACCAAACAAGAGAACAGTGATATATTGTGATCCACTGGTTATGCCTCAACAGGGACCAACAGCAGCTCAGTAAGTTACTAGGGAATCTGTAGGGAGAATGGAATGTTGGGGGCATTATTTCCTCCTCATCAGGTCAGATATAAAAATTTGGGAGGCAAGAGGGGAAGTGGCACCCACATGCAAATTTTCACCTCAGAGGTACATTAAGTACATGTTCCAGGTTCTCACAAGTTTGGAGGACTTTTGTACACAGTTTTTCTTCTCCAATTCTGATTCTTGTTCTCATTCACATCTGTCCCAGTAGACTAGGAATTTGGCTGCATTAGATGGTGCTGTATATATGCAATAAGATCATGATATGGATGATAATTATGAACATGGTAATAGGAGCCATACTATCATGAATCTTTACCTAGGTCTTCCCTTGCTATAGTTCAACATTTTTAAATTTTGGCTTGGCAACTTTGTCTGTATAATCACCCCATAAAAAGGCTAACACTCATTAAACTCACTTGAAAGTTTGAGATAAGACACCTTATTTTAGTGTTATGTTGTCTTAAGTCAGACAATAATGCTGCAATCAAAGGAAATCTTGGCTGAACACTCTCTTGCAAACCAAATATGAATACTTTGTTGTCACCACAGGCATGGGTTTTCCTTCTTTTTACTCTACCCCTTGTGAATCTGGTAGAGACTTATGGGTTGCCTTTCCTGTTTCAACTTTTGGAAGGATAACTAATATCCAAGCCAGTGGATCACACAAAGTGTTGGCAAATGATAAATCATTGAAGATTACTCTTTTGTCTCTGCCCTTGGATCTTGTTTCAATTATTCACTTCTTCCCTTACTCTGGTAATTTCCCTCCTCTTTATCTGAAGGGAAAATATTTGAGTTAATATAAATTTTAGTCAGAAAATGTGAATCTGTTAGATAATTATAAATAATACCTGTAATCTGATCTACTCAAGAGGTTCAGATCCAAAGGATCATGGTTCAAACAGTCTTGACAAAAAGTGAGTGACACCCAATTTCAAATAACAAGCTGGATGTCATGATGCACACCTACACTACCAGTTATGGAAAAAGAATTGTTGGGAGGACTGCAATCTGACTAGGTTCAAGAGAAAACATAGAACCCTGCCTGAAATGCAACTAAAGCATAAAAGGATTGGCTATCCAGTGGTAGAGTAACTGCCTACTAAATATGAGGCTCTGAGTTCATGCTTATATAACACAAATAAAAAAGTTTGAAATTATTTCTGAATGATTGTTCAACTCTGAAATTCAAGAAAAGAATGAGCAAGTTTAGTGCTCATTCATTAGAGAATGAACATTTATTTTGAATCTTAACAGTTCCATACATCATCTGTGTAACATATTTCTTGACTTCATATTTCTGAGTGCTGTCATTTGACTTGATCTGCAGTTGACACAACTTGATTCACTAAGAATCAAGCATAATACATCCTGAACTTCTTACCAAACATGTGGTAAGAGCAAGTCCTATTTACACATTACAATTATTAGTAGTGCTGAAGATCATGTATTCAAATAAAGTGTCCTGTCCTCTGAAGGTTTTGTTTTCCCTGGGACACTGAAGGAACATTTTATTTTCTGTTCATATGCCAGTTGATTATTTTATTTTTCTTTATAAAAGTAGATTCTGAATGCCTGGCATAAACCATCTGAGTCTCTTTCATCTCTGATTCTTTAGTATCTATACCTTATTGGAACACAGGATGCTGCAAGAGTAACAATCTCAACCATGAATATAGTAGATGCTCCCTTGGTTCACAGAAACAGCACAGGCAATGTAACTTCACACAATATGGCTTTTCTGCATGTAATTTTGCTACTCCCTGTAATGTGCTGTAGGACCACACAAAATATAAAGCAAGGCTTTTGTGTTCCTGGCATGAATTTTATGATAACTACCATTTTCATTGTGTAACAATATGGAATATCATCATAAAAGTTGTTGAGATTTCATTAAAATCAAAAACACACAGGGAGAAAGAGAGTTTTTACTGCATGAACTGAGACACATTTTAACAGTTTTACTCCATGAATGTGTTCATATGGACGTATTAGGCTTCAGGTTCTCTGGCATACACAAGAATAAAACATCGTTAATACTTTTGGGGGATTGCATATAACAATTAAACTTTCCACTCCAATATTAATTAAAATTCTGATTCAAAAGCCATGACCAAGTAAAAAGTCAATCCCCTCTTAGCTGTAAACTAAGAATGAATGTTAGTTACACAATTTCTAAGCAAAGGATACTACACAGATAGTTTGAGAGATTTACACATATATGGTTGGAAATTATGAATTTGAATTTGTATTAATACCTCTTAAATCATCCCAAGGTCGATCTTTTCTACTACAGTAAAAAGATTTTTTTATTGTTGTTGTGTTTGGTGGGGTACATTGTGGCATTCATAAAAATTCTCACCAAGTAGCAGATATACCATACTTTAATTCAACCCCTCCACATTTACAGCAATTTATTGTCAAATAAGAAACAGTAGTAAGGCATGGATTAGTAATGATGGGATTTGATAAGTTTATCTGTAAAGGAGGAAATGGGCAAAGTTTTACATAAGAACCTTATGAAATGAATACTCTGAAACATAAGATTGTCCATGAGTAACAATGTATTGGCATTCTGCTTTAGAAATGTGACATAGAGCAATACTACTCACTATTCAGGATAGGAATTTTCATGGAAATATATCATGGGATGTCCATTTCTATAAAGATTTCAGGGATATTTATGTTTAGATATATTGACAATAACAGCACATAATTGAATTTTTCCACGGGCCAAAGTATGTAAGACATTGGAGTAACAAGTAATATGGTCAACATGTACAATTCAAAAAACTATTTAGTATATATGAATCTCTTGGAAATTATGACTTCTGTGATAATAAGTACATTTGACATACCAACATATAAGAAAGGATTGTAAGTATTGTCATGCACTAAGAAAATGTTTCTTTATTGTTACCTATTACTATTGTTATCATCACTACCCAGTACACAATAAAAATAGGAATAGTAAATAATACTCCACGTCACCTATGTGTAAAGGATATGTTGCTTGCTATGCTTGTGTGATTCCAATACTTTGCATTTTCATTGACCAAAGGCTAAAATTGTCATCAGCTTCATAAATGTTATTTCCCATCAATGTTTCCATATTTTAGTGTTGTTGTATATAAATTACTTTCTGTTAAAATGATCTAAAGACTATTCTATTACATGTCTTATTTTCATTTAGGCCAATATTTTTTCAAGCTTCTTTTGTAGAATGTGCCTTTGCCCTGAAGTTTTTAAATGATGAATAGTCCAATCTGTGGGATGAATTCCATTTTCTTTTTAAATTTATTTTCACAACCGCTCTAGGAAGTCTGTATGGACAAATAGAAGGAATGTGGTACAACTTAGCCTGGGCATAAAAATAGAGCCATGCAAAAAATAACCAAAGCAAAGAAGTTTGGTGTTGTAGCTTAAGTGTTAGAGTTCATGCCATACAAGTGAATGAGAGGTCCTGAGTTGAACCCCTATTATCACTAAAAGAAGAAGTTATGCTGCATTTGTTTCCATTTTGTTTCTCTGCTAATTGAATCCCATTACTTCTCTGCTAAGAGGAAGAAAAACTTTTGGTATTACCAGGAAGCTTAATTTAGGAGATTGGGAAAGCTAAGGTAAAGTATCAGATCTGGCTTTGATTCTGGCATTGGTTTCGGAATTACACATAGGTTTCTGAACTACACATAGGTTGGATTTGATGAGAAAAGCTTTTCAAAAACATTTGGCAATAAAGAACTATTTAAGAAGTTTACTAAGCCATCATGAGCCACAATAAGCAATGTGTGAGACATTTTTTGAGATGTGCAAAACCAACAAAAAATAAACCTGCTCTAATAAGTAATATAGATAGAGCTTTAATTCAAATGCACTGATATTTCATAACTGCTACATTGCAAATTAGTGTAAACTTTAGGATTTATTGGATGCAATATTATCTTTGTGCACTTATCAGAGCATGCAAAAATAATAACTAATCCATGACAACATTTATATTTGTATATATATCTATATCTATATATATAGATATAGGTAGATAGATATAGATATGTATATATACATACACACACACACAGGAAAACACTTTCCAGAAATTGGAAACATTTGAGTGGAAACTAATCACCATGAAAGATGAATGTCTGAAACCAAATAGAAGCACCGTGAAAATTAATTGAAATGCTACCTGAATATGAACATGTGATTTAAATTGATCACCCGCTTAAGGTAGTTATATGTCTACTAGTGCTATAACCCAGATGAAGAAAATTTTTATAACATATTTAACATGTTAGTTTCCTTTAATAGGATTATTTTTTATTAAAGTGAGAAGTGAGGGTTTTTTTTAAAGTTCGTGCTTTGAATAGCAGGGTCTGACATTTAAAGTGTTCATGGATTTCTTATATTACAAGCATAATGCCCTTGCATCTGTAACATTCTTTTGTCCAGTGTCTGTAATGTGGATGAATACAGAAAAAAAGTGCATACACCAAAAATGAGGCATTCTAAGGAGAATTCACAACTGCAAACATTATCAAATGCACTTAGATGTATTGTCCTTAAGTGTAAATAATTCACGGGTAATTTTCATATTCCAAAACACAGAAGCTTAGAAGGATGCCTCTGCAGTTCTTTTCTATTTACATACCTCTTTTTTTACCAGGTGTCCAATCTACATGGAACCAGAGAATCTAACATGTATCTGGGAATTTTTCCTCCTGGGTCTATCAGAGAATGCTGAACTGCAGCCAATCCATTTTGGACTGTTCCTGTCCATTTACCTGATCACAGTGCTTGGGAACCTGCTCATCATCCTGGCCATCAGCTGTGACTCATACCTCCACACCCCCATGTACTTCTTCCTCTTCAATTTGTCCTTAGCTGATGTTGGTTTTATCTCAACGACAGTTCCCAAAATGCTAGCAAACATCCACACACACACTAATTCCATTACCCACAGAGGCTGCTTAACCCAGGTGTTTTTTTTCATGCTTTTTGGTTGTTTGGACAATCTACTTCTGACTGTGATGGCCTATGATCGCTTTGTGGCCATCTGTCACCCATTACACTACTTTATCATCATGAACCCTCGCCTCTGTGTGTTTCTGGTTGTGATGTCATATTTTATCAGTCTTTTGGACTCCCAGGTACACTGCTTAGTGGTTTCCCAACTTACTTTTTGCAAAGTTGTGGAAATTCCTCATTTCTTTTGTGACACTGCTGAACTTGTCAATCTTGCCTGTTCTGACACCTATAGTAATAATGCTTTAATCTATATTGTCATTGTCATCTTTGCAGGTGTTCCAGTCATAGGGATCCTTTATTCATATACTCGAATTGCTTTGTCCATTCTGAGAGTTCCATCAGTATGTGGGAAGTATAAAGCCTTCTCCACCTGTGGCTCTCACCTGTCAGTCGTTTGCTTATTTTATGGAACTGGCTTTGGAGTATACCTCAGCTCTGCTGTCTCTCATTCCCCCAGGAAAGGTGCAATGGTCTCTGTGATGTACACCATGATCACCCCCATGCTGAACCCCTTCATCTACAGCCTGAGGAACAGGGATATCAAGAGGACCCTCATGAAGTGGTTCAGAAAAATAATGTATTTCAGTACCTTGGCTGTGACTTTTGGTTCATAAAACTGAAAATGCAGACAAATCAAATTTAAATGATAAGAACTACTTAGGCTGAAACACATTTCATATGTACTCTGTACCAATCTGCTTTCTGTTTATTCAATTTTTCTCTTATAAAGCACTAATTTAATGGAGAAATTATTACGATAATCTCCAAAGTTATGTAATAGTCACTTGGATTTATGTTTAGTACCTCATCATAGATTCTGACTTTTATCCTTTACCCAAGTCTTTTAGTCATGAGGAGTTTTATTTTTCCTATTTTATTTCAAAATAATCAGCTCTCCATAACTTATTTTTGCCTCCAAAATTTCCATCCTAATATTTCCTATATTTCAGAAGTATATAATGTTCCCTTACATCCAAGGTAACTACTAAATGTTTACTTTATAGTGATCTTCAACTGCTTCTTCAGCTGGTAGTGTGTTTAATTTCTAATTCATATTGGGGTATTTGGGGATTGGAAGAGAATGTTATTTACACTCAGCTTTAATGAACATGTATGATTTGGAAAATTCCCTGGAATACTGGCCCGTGTGATCTCTAAGCAAAATGTGAGAAAGGACCTGGCAGAACACAGGGACTTTTGTAATTCCTAGGTAATTATCTTTCCTGCAACCTCTCCCTTTTATATTATACAATAACTTGAAATTCAAATATACATAAGTGAAGGTTTTTTCAAGTTATTAATAAGGTATATCAATGACTTTAGAACAAATGTAAAGATATTTTAGTTAAGTATTGAATCTAGAATTTCAGAAAATTAATACTAACATTAATGCAAGAATTGTTTATTAAAATAGTGAATAAAAGAAGAAATTTCAGTTAAATAGCCATAAATAGTGTAAAAAGTTAAGGCAAACTTTGATATTCTTGGGGAATTAATAAAGCAATAAACCTCTGGCAAGACCAATTAAAAAAGGAGAATAGATACATATAGCAATATGAAAGAAAACTGACCTTTGACTATGTAATTTAAATATGAATCAGTAAGATGATGCTGTAAGGATATCAGTAAGCCTGAAAACACAAATTGAACCACATCACAGAAAACCATAGCCACGTTTTCTTAGAGCAGGCAAAAAATTGTCAGTCCATTAAGACTAAATGATATCTTGTTTGAGTTGGTAAAGGACTTCAATCTCCATCCAAGAATAAGATAATAAGGTGTAAATAAGAGATTAACACCATTTCTAGCATGTGTGAGGCCCTGGGTTCAATTCTCACCACAGCAGAAATTAATTAATCAATTGAATATTAAGGAAGATAAATAGTAATGTTAGATAAATTGTAAGGTTAGATTTTTCTCCTATGATAAGCACATAAATATTGATTTTAAGAACCTATCAACAGTTTTCTTTTTTTATGGTACTGGGAGTTGAACCGAGGGCCTCACATTTGCTATGCTAGGAAGGAAGTATACCACTTGTGTCATACCTTCAGCTTTTTGGTTGAATAGGACCTCCTATTTTCATCCAGGCCAGCCTAGACTTCAGTCTTTCTATGTACTCCCCATGTTATTGGAAGTGCTTGCCACTTGTCCCAACTTTATTGTTGGAGGTATAATTTTGCTACCTTTTTAGCTAGCCAGGCTTCAAACTGCAATTATCTGGATCTCTGCCTCTCTAGTATCTAGGATTACATGCATGAGCCATTGTTCTCAGCATACACAGTTTCTTAAAAGTTTCTTAAAGGTAACTAATGCTCATCTAATTAGTACATAACACAATACAAATTGCTGCTACAAAACTCTAGTTTTCGTTTTACATGCCTCTGAGTTGTAAATAAATATTTTAATTTAAATATTTTAACTAAGTGTTATCTATATAACAGATATTTAATTTGTCAGTTTATTTCTGACACAGCTTCCATAATTTCTTTTTATCATCATTTTATTCTTGTATTGGGGGTACATTGTGACATTTATGAAAGGTCTTTCAATATATCATAGTTGAATTTACTCCCTCCATCATTCACCTTCATCTGCCTGACCATTCCCACAATATTTTCACATGCTTCATTTTCCCAGTTTCATATATGAGTACCATAATATTTCTACCTTCCCAAATCCACCTTCTTACACACTTTTCTTATATCCTTATCCTTCCTCTTGATATCCCTTCAAAATTATTTTGTCTCTGTTTATATCACACAAGTTTGATTTCCCATATCACATTGAGATGGGGTAGAGTTGTTTGATGACCCATAATTGATGCAATTTCAATTTTACTACTAATCACCTGCATTTGTAATCACAATAAAATAAGTTATTAACAACTGCATGCTTTTCTTATTAGATTACATATCAAAAATCCCTTCAATCTTTCTAGAAATAATCAACCCACATCACTCATGAAGAAATCTCATCTAGCATTAAGAGTAATACTTCCATTTGTTTGAAGTGGAAGAGACAGGGACCAGGTCTAGAAGTCAGGAAATGAAAATTTTTGTCCTATAATATTGACCTAGTACCATCTGCAAAATTTCTGTTACTCTACCTCTCTGTGCTGAAACTTCTTAAAGGAAATGGGAGAATAATGGCCTTTTCCACAACATCTGTAGCACCTAGAGCAACACTGGAAGTTTATTTCCACCTGCCCATATCTCTCTCTCTCTCTCTCTCTCTCTCTCTCTCTCTCTATATATATATATATATATATATATATATATATATATATATCATCAATCTCACACCTGGACTGACATGAATTGTAAAATATGTCTCAGCCTAAGCCACAAAGTTTACATAAACACTTTTTCCTTTCTATTAAATTCTCTGTCCCATATATTAATAATTGAATACTGTAGATGCTGTTGAATAGAATAATAAGCCCCAGGGTCTGTCATATAAACAAAAACTAGATCTGTTTTAACTTGAGTTAGTGCTATGAATCATTTCTAAAATAGATAAATTTGACGATAGGAGAGTAATAAGGCAGTCAAAGTCAAACTGAGTACAGTCAATTTTTGTGAACCAATGGATATGCTATTCAATGCATGGCAAAGAATTTACTTATTTGGTGGTACTGAGATTTTGAACATAAGGCCTCCCACATGCTAGTAAACCACTCTACCACATAAAATATAACTCAAGCCCTTTTGACTTTGGTTATTTTGTCTCACACCTTTTTTTCATGCTCTTCTCAGTCTGAGACCCTCTTACATATGCCTCCTACATAGCTGTGGTTACAGAAATTAAACACTTTACGTCTCCTTGTTCTTGAGATAGAGTCTTGCTAAGCATTTCTCCCTGATCTGCCTTGAACCACAATCCTACTATCCCATGTAGTCTGGATCATAGGCATGACCCACAGCATGGGGCTATTATTTTGTTAATGAGATGTACCTTCATTTGTTTTTTATTTATGATGCCTCATCTGTGTCAAACAAGGCATCATTGGATTTAGAGAATGAGAGTAAAAGAAAGTTACTAATTCTTCTCCAAATATATGGCATATATTTGTACAACTACCAAATGTCCTGCACAATAATGAGAATGTAGTAATTGGTTGAGTGATATAAATATTAACCTCCTCAATATTACTACTAACACTGATATGTAAATTTTATTTTTCACATATTCTATCCCTTCATTACATGCTATTAACATAGGGATCAGCTATAATCCATTAAGTACTAACCAAATTCAGTTTTATGAGTGGGAAATTATCTCAATTGGCAATGTTGAGTCTGATAAATAATGAAAACCTGACCTTCTGAAATGAAATAATATGGATAAGAAATGGTATCAGAGATATAGTACTTACAGTTTTTCCTAATTTTTGAAACAGAGACTCATTCTGTAGCTCAGGCTACCTATGAATGGTAAACCCCCTTTAATAGTTTATAATCCTAGTGCTTGGATTGCAGGTGTGTACCACGGTGCCTGGTGACAGTTCTCATCTTAAACATTATTTCATAGTCAACAGAAAGTTGTTCACACAAGTCAAGAAGCCTAAACTTCAGGTGCATGTCAAATATATTTTAATGCATATCCAGTTTTCTACATAGGAACAAAACCAGGTCCTGGCTTTATGCTTCACTTTGAGATTGACTATTAATTGCAAGAATATAGGAAGAAGCTTCAGTTTGATGTCCATCCTAGACTATGGGAAGAGTTGTGGGCACAAAATTGCGTGCTGCTGCTTTCTCTATTTTTTCTATAATTGCTACTTATACTTCTTTATTTGGTGTTGTTGGAAACACCCACTTCTCTGCCAGTGAGCTAGCAGGGACCCCCTAAAGCAGTAGCAGAGTAAACAATGTCTTCCTGGAGTGACAGGCAGAGAAATGGCTTGCTGGCCTGTCAAGGCAAAAAGTTGCCAGAATTCTGATTAATGATCCTCTCTCTATAATATGACAACCCAATTAAAATACAACTTAACTCATTTCTACATAAAAGCCTAATAAAATTATGTGAGTATATTCTTGAATCTTCTCTAAAACTGTAATAATTGATGTACCTATAGCTGGAAAATGAAGTGAAAAAGTTGCATAAAACATGGAGCTCAGCATTTAAAAATCCACCAAACATGCTTCCTGATGCTATTTCACTGTCATCCTCCTCCTCCTCCTCCTCATCTTCATCTTCTTAATCCCTTTGTAGCAGTTAGGAAAGCTTTTCTGATACTATGAGTGATATCTCTATTGAAAATGTAACCAATATGAGGTGAAAGTTAAGTCAGTAAGATTGCTGTTAATAAATAACAAAAAAAATTAATAAATAGTGCTAATGTTGCCCACCGGTTTTCTCTCACCTTCCTATCCACACTGTCATAGTTGTCTTCATGATAAAGACATGATTATTCCAGTGGGCATTCATAAATCCAGTGTCTTACTCAGAACTGATTGAGTTATGCTGCTATTCTCTTAAGCCATGGGAAAAGTCTTGGATCCAAAGTAAATCCCTAACTAAGTGACCAGACAAAGGTCAGTCTTGGTACTCACGACAAATACTATTAACAGTGTAAGAGAAGAGTTTATTATTTAGGAATAAAATTATC